AAAAATAGAACCATTCTTGATATGGTTCGAAGCATGTTGAAGAGCAAAAATTTGTCCAAGGAACTTTGGGCTGAAGCTGTTTCGTGTGCCGTCTATCTTCAAAATAGATGTCCAACATATGGACTTGAAGGAGTAACTCCACAAGAGGCATGGACCGGGAGAACACCAAGTGTTTCGCACTTGAGAATTTTTGGGAGCATTGCATATGCTCATGTCCCGGATAAAAAAAGATCAAAACTTGAAGACGAGCAAAAAGCTCATCTTTATCGGGTATGACTCATCATCCAAAGCCTATCGATTATTTGACCCTAACACTTTGAAAGTGTATGTAAGTAGAGATGTCAAGTTCGATGAAGATGGAATGTGGGAAGAAAATCTAAAAGAAGAAGCGAATGTTCGTGATGATTCCGATCAAACGGAGTTGAAAGATCAATCTTCACCTTCTTCTCCAACATCTTATTCAAGTTCATCAACACCATCTTCTTCAAATAGTGTCAATGAACCGCTAGTGCCAAGATCAAGAAGATTGTCTGAAATTTACGAAGCTACCGAAGAGCTTCATCTTATATGTCTTCTTGCAGATTATGAACCACTTGCTTATGATGATGCGGCCAAAGAAGAAAAGTGGAGGAAAGCCATGAACGAAGAAATTGAAGCCATCGAGAAAAATCAAACATGGGAGCTTGCTAATCTTCCGAAGGACAAGAAATCGATTGGTGTTAAATGGGTGTACAAGGCCAAGAAGAATGAGAAAGGTGAAGTAACAAGGTACAAAGCTAGATTAGTCGCGAAGGGGTACAAGCAAAAAGCCGGAATCGACTATGATGAAGTTTTTGCCCCTGTCATCCGCATGGAAACGATTAGATTGATTATTTCCATTGTTGCTCAAAATAATTGGCGGATTTATCAAATGGATGTCAAATCAGCATTCTTGAATGGCATCCTTGAAGAAGAAATTTATGTCGAACAACCCGAGGGGTTTGTTGTGAAAGGTTATGAAGACAAAGTGCTAAGGTTGAAGAAAGCTCTATATGGGCTTAAACAAGCACTGGGAGCATGGAATTCCAGAATTGATGCATATTTCAAGGCGAATGGATTCTCTCAATGTCCATACGAGCATGCACTCTATTTGAAGCAAGAAAAAGGTGATATTCTACTCGCCTGTTTATATGTTGATGATCTTGTTTTTACAGGAAATAATTCGGCAATGATTGGTGCTTTTAAGGCATCGATGGTGAAAGAATTTGAGATGACCGATAATGGTCTCATGAATTATTTTCTTGGTATCGAAGTGAAGCAAAGTGCCGATGGGATTTTTATTTCCCAAAAAGGATATGCAGAAAATATCCTTGAAAAATTCAACATGAAGAACTGTATGCCGGTCAATACACCAATGGAGTGTGGAACCAAGCTTTCGAAGTTTGATGATGGTGCCGATGTTGATTCGACATATTATAGAAGCTTGATTGGAAGTTTGAGATACTTGACATGCACGAGACCGGATATTATGTATAGTGTTGGAATTGTTAGTCGATACATGGAGAAGCCGAAATCATCTCATCTTAAAGCTGCAAAGAGAATACTTCGGTACATCAAAGGTACTATTTCTCATGGTTTACACTATTATTACTCTGAATCTTTCAAACTTAGAGCTTATTCGGATAGTGATTATGGTGGAGATATCGACGATCGAAAAAGCACCACGGGATTTGTATTTTTCTTGTGCGACACTGCTTTCACGTGGTCATCAAAGAAGCAATCAAGTGTTACTCTGTCGACATGTGAAGCTGAATATGTAGCTGCATCTTCATGCGTTTGTCATGCAATATGGTTGAGAAGACTACTCAAAGATATTCTTATGGAGCAGAAGAAAGCAACGGAGATTTTTGTTGATAATGTTTCTGCTATTGCTTTGGCGAAAAATCCAGTTTTTCATGAACGAAGTAAACATATCGATGTTCGATATCACTTTATCCGAGAACATGTTAAAGATAATGAAGTTGAAGTATTGCATGTGAAGACCGGAGATCAAGTAGCAGATATTTTTACTAAACCTCTCAAGATCGATGCTTTTCGAAAGTTCAAGAGCCTGCTTGGAATGATCGATGGAAGAGAATTTGGTTTAGGGGGGAGTGTTAGAAATTAAACCAAATTTATTAGTACTTGTTTCCTTTTTGAGTCTGTTCGTATTTCCATATTTTGATAGATATTGTGAGATATTGTTTCTAGTTATATTTTAGGAAAGTTTCCTAAGTCAATTAGATTTCCTAATTAGAATAGGTTTCCTAGAAAGAGGCTTCCTATTTCGAATCAAACTATGGTCTATATATAGTATATTTCTCTTGTAATTGAGACATGCAATAGAAAGACGCGAATTGCGATTGTTTCACCTTCAAAAATTCCTTTCATCAAATCAATATTGTTGCCGCTCCTCTGACGCTCAACAGATTCAGGGAAAGAGAAAACAACGAGCAATCGCAGCTTGAACGTCCCTACGGAATCTGGTGTTCGGATCGTTCTAGACCTCGACCTCAAATTCCAAGATCAAAGCTCCGTCTCCTTTGACGGCGGTTGTACTCAAGTTTCCGGTTCGCCGAACTCCAAACGACAATCGACTGGCAAGCCCGGCATTTCTCCGGCTCTTGCAATTTCGGCGCGAATACACTCAGTTGAAACTTCAATTTATTAATACATAAGAACACAACTTAAGAATTGAGATACAAGAAGTTCCTAAGCGAACCGGTCAAATTAAGTCGCAGTGCACACAATATAATCACGAGTTTTCCCTTGGTTCCTGATACATCAAACTATAAAACACTAATCAGGGATTAACTCTGACACAATACCTCTGAATTCGTCTCTCGTAAATAGGAACGCTCGTGTATGTGAAATTACGAGAGTGCCCCTTAAAAACCTGACTTTGGATTCTCGGGACAAGTCAGTTGACAAAAAAACGTAAGGCTGGAAAAAAAACGATTTAATTTTAGGACTACTAATACTATAAAAAATTCCAACCTGGTACACAATCAAATTTGGGCTATATGTGGCACGATCAGATGTACTAGTTTAGGATTTTTGATGTCACGAAAATTAGTTCGGGCTAAATGTATCACGAGTATACCGATTTGGATTTTTTTCGCGACACGACAATTAATTTGGGAAATATATGGCACAAATATACCAGTTTAGTATTTTTCTTTTTTCGTGGTATTAACCATTAATATTATCTTGAAACTCACTAATAATAAATTTCTCGAGAAAGTATATTGAAAATTTAATTTGTGAAAATATCAATATATATATACAAATAATTTTCGAAAACATGCATTTCATTTTGTAAAACAGAAGTATTCTAGAAGAATTACTTTCACTAAATATTCATTGGCTTAAAAAGTAAAAAAAAATATTAATACCACGAAAAACCCCAAATTAGTATATTTGTGACAAATTTACCGCTCACTCTCTCTCGAGATCTTCTCTGCTACAGGGAAGAAGAAAACCCAACAACAAATTGGATATCGACCTGGAATGGCGACGTCGCTGGATGCCGCCGGAGGCCTGATCCTGACGTAGCCTTCCTTAAGTGCAAGTAGAAGGACCCAAACCCTAAGAGGCGCCTCGAGAAAGGCCAGCAAGTCACCCGCTGCGTGCTTCATCTGTGAGCCGTGCTTCTTCTTCTTTCTTGCTGCCTCCCGATTCAGTCACCCTTTGCCTTCGATATGATTGTTGTTGTTGTTGTTGCCGCTGCATCGTCTGTTCAGTTGTCTAAAATGCGAGCAAGTGTAGAGAGCGTTTGCTTGGGTCGTTTGCTTGGTGTGTGTGATTTGGGGAATGTTTGCTGAGAAAACTTCGAAAGAGTAGAGCCTTGGAGTTTCTTAGTTACCTCTGAATGTTGTCAAAATGGGCAATGGAAATCATTAGCAACTGAGGATAGTAGTGGGAAAGGTTTTGGTATAAGATAGTTTGCATACAGGGTATACGAGATTGTTGTCAAAATGGGCAATTGGAATCATCAGCAACCGAGGATAGTAGTGGGAAAGGTTTTTGATGGGTTTTGTGAATAAATGGGCTGCCCATGATGGGCTAACCCAGTCCATGAAAGAAAATAACCGCAAATGGCAGTTATTTTATGGGAACAAAAGTGAGAAGAATAAAACTTACGTGAGTTTTTGTAAGTGCACTATCAGAAACACTTACTCTCACTTGAAAACAAAAGAAAAAAAGCGACTTTGCTTGACAATCGAAGGATCGCTTTCTCTCTCGAGGCTGCAATAGGTGCACTTAATCTGTGGCAAAGAGGAATGTTTGTTTACGTAATATGCTTCGTTCGATCGGTGATTCAAGTATAGGATGGGCACGTTTTTCGCGTTTTTTGCATTATGTTTAGGAATCTGTTTCCTTCATTGGTATCAAAGCATGTGTTCTTGTTTCCTGATCGTTTTAATGTGTTTATAAAATGGATTGTTGGCCGGAATTCGTGAAACGGCGCCGACGAACACTCGGGTACGAAAAACCGAGACCCGGCCGTACTGTTCGAGGTCATTTCTCGATTTTCGTGCATCAAAATTTATTTTTGAAAGTGTAGGGTCGTAGTGCTCGTCAAGACGAGCAAAATGACGGGTGGAATGTCGAAGGTGGAGGCCGAATGCGCCTCCACGCGCTGCCGCAAGCGGCGGCTTCACCGACACGTGCGCAGCGGTTGCTGTGCACACGTGCGACGCACGCACCATGCATGCGCGTGTGGCCCGGCAGGCCTAACCCGATCCGACCCGGGTTCTAACCCGTGACCCGACCCTGCTGACCCGTTGACCTAACCCGGTCATCCGTTGACCGTTGACCGTCATTTGACCACCGTTGATCGGCGTTGACCACCGAAAAAAAAAAACTGAAGGGGGGCAGAATGTGTTTCTTGCAAGTATCATGAATTAAAAAAAAATAATCATTTGATTTTTTCTGCATATGTTGCAGGAAAGATGGTACGAAGATTTCGAACCTCCATTATGGCTAGGACGCCTGAACAAAAGGCAAGACTTGCAGCATTGAGAGCTGAATTAGATGCTTATCGATGGGAAAATGGTGATTTGGAGAATCACGTGGTCAAGGTCAATAAGATGATACAGAAAATCATCTGGAATGGTTACTGTATGCCGGACTTCGAGAAGTTGAATGTTCTGATCAACACTCTTCCATCTGAATGGAAAAAGGTGTTGCATCGCCTATGGGAGGTCAACGTGGTCCCAACCTACAAAAAACTTGCAATGGATTTTGTGAGAGAATATTATAGGATTGAGACAACAAAGACTTCGACCCTAGGGATGAATACAACTTGGCGAAGAATGAATGTGCCATGGAGAAAGCCTAAGGGATACCCGACAGTCTTTTCTTGGTTGCCAAAGAAGAAGTTTGGATTTTTTAAGAAATTTAATAAATCTTTACCTGTGTATAGGAAATTGATAAACCGTTGATTTTTTTTTTTTTAGTTTGGTTTTAGATATCTTAGGTGGATATTACTATTTGTGTTGGTATTCATGTTTCTTTCCTATGATGGATTTGTTCATCATGTAAATAGTTTTTTTTAATGAATAGATGTTGATAGATATTTTCTGTTATGAATAGTTTATGGTGCTATTATATTATAATATCTGTCTTATTAATATCATGTGGTTGAGTGGGAGTTCTAAAAGTTTTAGTAACTTTAAAGAACGTAATTTTACCTTAATGATTATATTAACGATAATTTCACATTAGGATTTTAGATAATGATTGGGAATATAGTGAACTTTCGAATTTAAAAACTATGTGAAATTACTCATTAATATAATCAGTTTGTGTAAAATTGATGCATAAATGAGTGGCATTAATAATTCGTGCTATATGTCTGAAATGTTCAGATACCATGGCTTCAACAAGCAAGAACATAGTGGCTGAATTGAATAGAGGAGAGAAATTGAACGGTGAAAATTATGAAATATGGAACATGAAAATCCAATATGTGCTAAAAGAACAAGAAACACTAGAAGCTTTTAACCAACTTATGGAAGAACTTGAGGATGGAAACACTGCACAGCATAAGAGAGATAGAGATGCATTTGCTGCATGGAAGAAGAAGAACTCGATTGCTCGCATCACGTTGCTGAGTAGCATGGAGAATGATATCATGCGAGAGTTCAGGCGGTTTGAGAATGCCAAGGAAATGTGGGAAGCATTAGCAGCAAGATTTGGTCATACGTCGGTGACCAAGCTAAGACAGCTCACTATAAGGTTTGACTCGTATAAGAAATCTCATGGTCAGTCCATGAAACAACACCTGAGAAAGATGTCAAACATGATCATTAAGCTGAAGGATGCTGGACACATTCTGATTGATGACCAGCAAGTGCAAGCAGTGATCCGTTCCTTGCCTCAAAGCTGGGAGCACAAGAAGGTGCACCTGACCCATAATGAAAACATCAAGACCTTTGAAGATGCCATGCGCCATCTTGAGTTAGAAGAGGATCGCCTCATGGCGGCGAAACCAGAAACCGACATCTATTATGCTGGTTCTAGCTCACATGGGGCTTCGGGCTTCAAGCGCAAGCACGTCGAAAGGTTCATGAAGTGGAAAGGCAAGGGAGCAAGTTCTTCAGGTAAGAAATCAAAATTTAATCAACAAGACAAAGGAAAGCGTTCTTTTGTTAAGAAGATGTCGAGGGTGAAATGCTACAACTGTAGCAAAAAAGGCCACTTCGCTCGCGATTGTGGCGAGCCAAAGAAGGTAAACTCTCCTTACATTTTTTAGAACTTTGTCTATGTGTCAAGTTTTGTATTTTTAACTGAGTCTAATCCTTTGTGGACCGTAGATTCGGGAGCAACAGACTATGTAGCGAAGGACAGATATGCCTTTGTGGAGTTCCGACGGGTTCCGACTGGGACAAAATGGATCTATGTAGGGAACAACTCCAAAGCTGAAGTTAAAGGGATTGGCACCTGCCAGTTGATGATGCGTGGTGGATGCACATTGTTCCTGCATGACGTATTATATGCTCCGGAGATTCGTTGGAATTTAGTGTCTGTATTAGTATTGGTTAAACTTGGTTTTAATTTGAACTTCCATAATAGTGGTGTTGATTTGTATTTGAATACGAATTACTATGGTTGTGGATACTTTTTGGATGGTTTTATTGTATTAAATGTTAACTGTGGTGATGTTAACGTTTGTTATTCCCTATTTGTATCTTCCAATTCCTATGAAAATGATGTGAATGTGTGGCATGCTAGACTTGGTCATATTGGCCAATAACGAATGCAAAGATTAGCCAAAGAGGGCTTATTAGGCAATATTGAAAAAGTTGATTTGCCTATTTGCGAGCATTGCCTTGCCGGGAAAACAACAAGGAAACCATTCGGAAAGGGTGCAAGAGCTAAGTTTCCTTTGTAACTAATCCATTCTGACATCTGTGGTCCAATGAATGTAAGAGTAAGGCATGGGACTGTGTATTTCATCACATTCATAGATGATTATACTCGATTTGGATATGTCTATTTGATTTCCCATAAATCTGAGGCATTAAGTTACTTCAAGAAATTTATGAACTTGGTAGAAAATCAATTAGATAAGAAAATAAAAACGTTTAGATCCGATCGAGATCGAAAATATTTATCTGATGAGTTCAGAAATTTATGTGATGAAAAAGGAATAGAAAGACAGTTGTCTATTCCATATACTCCTCAACAAAATGGTGTTGCCGAGAGGAGAAATAGAACCCTATTGAAAATGGTTAGGTCTATGATGGCACAAGCTAAATTACCTATCACTTTTTGGGGTGATGCTTTGTTAACTGCTGCCTATGTACTTAACCGTGTGCCTTCTAAATCAGTTACTTCCACTCCGTATGAGTTATGGACAGGTAGAAAACCCGATTTAAGTTTTCTTAAACCTTGGGGTTGTGCTGCTTATACTCACGAGCCCTCTCATAAATATGAGAAACTGGGTCCCAGAGGCAAGAAGAGTATTTTCATAAGATACTAAGAGCACTCAAAAGGGTATGTGTTTATAGGTAAGCAAGAAAGTGGGAGTATAACTGAATTAGAATCACGAGATGTCACATTCTTAGAGAATGAGTTTCCTAAGAAGGGCGAAATAGGTGAGGACTACTCACTATTTGAAACGTTGGATCTTGATAATGAAATTGATGAAGTTCGTCCGAGTGGGAGCAATGTGAGAAGTGAGGAATTAAATTCGACTCAATCTCAATTGCAACCGTTTGATGAGACGATACCGTCATTATCTAATCCAAGTGGGAGCGTAATGGAGAATGATGTACCACGTGTGCAATCTCTTGTACGGCGAACAAGTCGTAAAAGTGTTCCCCGACGACGTTTTGACATTCAAGGGGAAACTTTCATGGTCGCTCCACAAGATGAAGATGAGCCAAGGAATATAAATGAGGCTCTAAGTTGCCCTAATAAGGTAAAATGGATAAATGCAATGGAAAAAGAAATGGAGTCAATAAAGTCAAACCATGTTTGGGAATTGGTTGATCTTCCAAAAGGACGCAAAGCTATTGGGAACAAATGGGTTCTCAAAATAAAGTGAAAAGCTGATGGCTCAATAGAAAGATATAAGGCTCGCCTCGTGGCGAAATGGTATAATCAACAGGAATGAATTGATTATGAGGAAACTTTTTCTCCTGTAGTGAGATTTACCTCAATTCGACTTATTCTGGTAATAGTGGCAAGTATGGATCTTGAATTACATCAAATGGATGTAAAGACTGCTTTTCTAAATGGAGAATTAGAAGAAGAAATTTACATGGAGCAACCTGTTGGCTTCATTGTGAAAGGCCAAGAACCAAAAGTATGTCGACTTTTGAGATCGATATATGGCCTTAAGCAGCTTCAAGACAATGGTATACACGTTTTCATAATGCCATAGTGGCCTATGATTTTACAATGATTGATGAAGATCATTGCGTATATATCAAAGGATCCAAAGATCAATTTGTGATCTTATCATTATATGTTGATGATATACTGATTGCCGGAAGCAATATGGAGTTGGTTAATACTGTTAAGAGTTGGTTATCGTCCAATTTTGAGATGAAAGATATGGGTGAAGCTGCATATATTCTTGGAGTTAAGATTTCAAGAGATCGTTCCAAGAGATTATTGTCTCTTTTGCAAGAGACTTATATCAACAAAGTTCTTGAACGATTTTGTATGCATGACTGTAAACCCATGGATACTCCTATTGCAAAAGGTGAAGGATTGAGCTGTAGGTTGTGTCCTAAGACTCCACAAGAGAAGGAACAAATGAAACACGTTCCTTATGCTAGTGCTGTTGGGAGTTTAATGTACGCTATGATGTGTACAAGACCTAACATATGTTTCGCAGTTGGAATGGTAAGTAGATACCAATCCAATCCAGGTCAAGCACATTGGAAAGCCGTCAAAAGAATAATGAGGTATCTAAAGGGTACTGCTGATTATTCTCTGAGTTATCAAGGAAAGGATTTGCGACTTAAAGGCTACTCAGATGCTGACTGGGGAGGAGATTTATATGAAAGGAAATCTACCTCTAGATTTGCATTCTTACTGAATAATGGCGTCATATCTTGGAGCAGTAAGAAACAAACATGTATAGCATTATCCACCATGGAAGCTGAGTTCATGGCATTATCAGCAGCAGTACAAGAGGGAGTTTGGCTTAAAATATTTTTGGATCATTTAGGTGTTGTTGAGCATGCTGCAAGTTCATTGTTAATCAATTGTGATAGCCAAGCAGCAATAGCATACACCAAGGATCCGAAATATCATGGCAAAACCAAACATATAGATACCAAGTACAATTTTGTTAAAGATATGGTAGCATGAAAGATGTGAACTTGCAGTACATATCTACGCATAGAATGATAGCAGATCCTATGACGAAGCCAATTCCTAGAGATGTTTTCAATGGTCATGTAAAATCTCTAGGACTGCGTAGATGTTGATGTACTGAATATTGTAATTTCCCTGAATGTTCATATTTAAATGAAATTGTTATATCATTGTTAATGCCTATGAGTTTTTTATATATTTATGCATCTTAATACTTAGTGTATTATGTCAAGAAAGTATGTCGGACAGATACGATTAACCCACTCACACGAGTAATCGCCTCTATTTACTGTGTAATAAATAGAGATGAGACAATTTTAAACTTATTATCTAGGTGATAATCGAGAGCTCAAGCTTAAAATAAAAATGTCGCCTTAACTAAGTGCTAAGATGAGGACATAACATTTACTATGTCCGAAAGTAAAATAGTCCACATATTTTACTTTATCTGTCTTTGATGCCAGATGTGAGTTCTAATGGATTCTTTAGAAGAGCAGATACGTGAACTCAAGTTTAGACATTGAGTATGTCTGAACTATCATCTGTACGGTATTGAATGTAAAGACATACGCTCCACGGGAAAGGAGTTAATACCGTAATACGTATACATGAGACGACCGATAAGAGTGGCAAAAGTTTTTTTATCTCAACTTTATGCCGTGTGAGACTCTTGAGGATATGAGTTCCTCATTTAGTGCCCTCACGACTCTGACTTATTCTCAAAGTTTCTATTCAGTGTTCGCTATCTTAGGGTGTTGCCAATGGTCATGAATGATTCGATCTAATGGGCCATTTCTAGAAAAGCGAGCTGGACTGAAATAGAGAGGTTTAAGAAAAGAGGAAGATAAATTTATTTATGATGTCACATCCTATTTTTGTATTCACAGGTCGACCAATTATGATTTTGAGTAAATCATAGTTGTGAATACAATATACGAGATACTAAAAGAGATCAAAAGAGATATAAATGTGACTGATTGATCTAGGGTACTGCATACTATATCTACTCGAAAACGTTATGCCCAATTTGAGCTGCTATGTATTCCTAACAGATGCATGGCAACGAGCTCTCAAAGTATGCTGGTCGCACGAATTATTTGCTAGTATGAACATTGCAAAGAAGAGAGAGTTATGTTTAGCCCACCATGTGCGAGTGGGAGATGATGGGTTTTGTGAATAAATGGGCCGCCCATGATGGGCTAACCCAGCCCATGAAAGAAAATAACCGCAAATGGCAGTTATTTTATGGGAACAAAAGTGAGAAGAATAAAACTTACGTGAGTTTTTGTAAGTGCTGGTTCACTATCAGAAACACTTACTCTCACTTGAAAACAAAAGAAAAAAAGCGACTTTGCTTGACAATCGAAGGATCGCTTTCTCTCTCGAGGCTGTAATATGTGTACTTAATCTGTGGCAAAGAGGTATGTTCGTTTACGTAATATGCTTCGTTCGATCGGTGATTCAAGTATAGGATGGGCACGTTTTCCGCATTTTTTGCATTATGTTTAGGAATCTGTTTCCTTCAGTTTTGGTATAAGGCAGTTTGCATACTGGGTATACGAGAATATTGTCAAAATGGGCAATTGGAATCATTAGCAACTGAGGATGGTAGTGGGAAAGGTCTTGGTATAAGGTAGTTTGCGTATGGGGTATACGAGTTCGTAATGTAGTCATGATGGTGAGGAGAGCACAGAACATGGTATCGGGTATCTGACATTCCTTCGCTTCACCAATTCTCATATGGCCAGTCTTTAGCTGTCTATGTTCTTACGCGGTTAAACATGCCAATCTTTTGAAATGGATTTCGACGGACAATTTAATTTTCTTTTATGCCAACATTCCACTCAGTGTCTAATGCAATTGTGTTAGAATAGGAACTAGCATTCCAACGGAATGCCCCTTGCGTGTGTTTTCTCTAATTCGTCTTTTCCGTAAAAGTAAAAGAGAGAGAAGGAAAGGTACATTAGGGAAAAACAAAGGCTCATTTAGCTTTGCCAGTTCAATGCAAGGGTCATTCGAGTGGAATGGAGAAAAAACACAAGCAAGGGGCATTCCATTTTTCCATCAGAATCAAACATTAAGAATATTCTCCTTTTGATTCTATTCTTTTCTCGATGCCGACCATCCTTATTTCATTCGTTCATACAAAATGTACCACTGTATAGAGTACTTCACATGGAGCTCCTTTCGTAACTGGCTGAAACCTTCTTTCCTTAGACCTCTTTATTGGCTGGCTTAAATCAGATGTAGTTTAGAAGAACCTCAGGTTTTAGTTCCGGATCAAAATTCCAAATCTCTTGGTAGAACAAGTAATTCTGTTTTGAAGGTAGTCATACAGGCTTTTGTTTTGTGCAGCATTTAAAGATTAATTGCTTCAGAATCAGTGCGTTTAAGTTTCCTTTCCATAAGTAATAATAAAGATGTGGTGTGCGGGATCTAGCACATTTGCTTGGATCGGTAGACTTTGCTTACACAAATTGATGAAGGGGATTTCATATTAGATACTTGATGATCTTGATATAGAGAGCACTTGGCTTTGTGACTGACTTATGGGCTATGCACTTTCGACTTCGAGTGAGAGGAATGCAGTCTACTTCTTTTCGCAGTTTTAGATGCAAACATACTCGTGGGCCTCTTAGTCATTGCATTAATTAGTCTGTCTTCATTTTTGGGCTGCACAATGCTTACATTGGCAAATAAACTAACTATAAGCTTTACTGTCAATGATTCATGACGTTTGCCCACGGAAGTATACAGATGCAAATGGATTTTTTAGAGGCTTAAATAGAGGTGCTGAAAAAATTTGATACCCCTTTCAACTGATAAAAGTTGCAATTTACATACCTCTTTCCATTGTAGTATCTAAACCATGTATTTATGGCTGCGCAGACTGAAAGATCTTCACCAGAGGTGTACAAAAGAGATGGATGCTTATGTCGGTTGCATGTATTACCACACAAATGAGTTCGATTTATGCCGCAAAGAGCAGCAAGCCTTTGAAAAGGCATGCCCGTAATAACTGGCCTTTGGGCTGGGCCCTATTATACAGTAAGGATTCGAGGTGTTTCTAATAATGAACTAAATTCGATATTATAACTTTCCATAATTGGGTTTTTCTTTTAATTCCTTGATTCAGGGTTAAAGAGCAAAAGAAAGGTTAGACAGATGAAACACGTTCCTACGAAAAACGACTTCTCCCATTTTCCCACGTTAAAGAGCAAACGAAAGGTTGGACAGATGAAACACGTTCTACGACTTTTCCCATTTTTCCATAAGAGCAAACGAAAGGTTGGACAGATGAAACACGTTCCTTGGACTTCTCCCATGTGAAGTGTCAAAAGAAGTTGGAGAAGAAGGATCGTTGACTTGACTCGAACTCTCACACTTCTTCAATTAAATATCATCTGCCAACTGCAACTTTTTTTACTTTCTAACTAGCCGTATACTCCGAATAAAAAAAAACCAGCCGTATGCATTTCGATCAAAAAAAAAAAAACTGGCTGTATACCTTGGGACTATATTAAAATGTTAAAGATCATAATATAATAGAGTGGACTTTGTTATTATTAATTAATAATCCATCTAAAAGTGTTCAAGATGCAAAATGCAGTTTGCATATTGGTATAACAAGTTTGAAGCGGGTACAACATGAATCTAAAAGGTAATATTTTGAAATAAATTCTTCTTAAGTATAGAACAGATTTTGATCTCTTTTATGTATGAGCACTATTTTCGATTTTGTAATAACAAACGCTATTCCAAATTGTATAATTTATAGAAAAGATATATATTATAATTGACAAATAAAAGTAAAGTTGATTATAAATTGTGAAATAGACCTACTTACATATACGGTCAATAGTGTTCTGCTTCGGAGGACCGGAAAGTCAAGATTTTTGCGTGCGGAGAAGACTAGAATCGTCACCCCTACTAAACGGCCCGGTAATTCGGGGATTGGAAAGACATAGTTGATGAAGAACAAAACTAGGGCCCCATGGTGTTTCAGCTTTCGCAGACTGACTTGATCATCAATAGTTTCATTGACTGACTTGATCATCACGGCCTTGTAATTTTCTCAACTTGAGTGGCCCATAAACGATCTGTCAGATTGTGCTGATGACATCAACGTGTCTTAGTGTGGAAGATCATGTTGCCTACTATTATATATTTCGCAAATTATTCCGCAACAACGCCACACAATAATCGAAAGAGACTCGAGCTGAGAGCGCTTTGCTACAAATCCACATGGACCTTCCCAGTAGAGATCAGATTTTATCCGGGTCATTGTCATGCTTAACTACCATCATTCTTTTGTTAGGGAGTGTCTTGGCTTTGGTAGAAGCCAGCGGGAACGAGACCGATTGGTTGGCTCTGCTGGAATTCAAGGCCCGAATAGCCGATCCCGGTGGGGTTTTGAGTTCGTGGAATGATACTAGCAAAATTTGTGAATGGTACGGTGTCACATGTGGCCATAGACACCACAGAGTCACTGTATTGGACCTCAGCTCCGAGAACCTAGATGGGGTCATGCCACCCCATATTGGTAATATGAGCTTTTTGAGGGAAGTTCATCTGCAGAACAATAGTTTTCGCTCTGAAATTCCCCCGCAATTCGGCCGCTTGTTTCGGTTACAAAAGTTGTTCCTTGATAACAACTCGTTTAGCGGACAAATCCCTTCGAATCTCTCCCATTGCTCTAATTTGCTCGTTCTTAACTTAGGCTTCAACACGCTTGAAGGAAATTTGCCTGTGGAACTCAGCTCCTTCAACAAGCTCCAAACGCTTATTTTTCAATCCAACAGCTTGATGGGAAACATTCCGGCGTCATTTGGAAACTTATCCTCTCTTCAAGTCTTCGGTACAACATTAAATAACCTCGGTGGTACGATTCCAGAAACTCTCGGCAGGCTGAGAAACCTAAATGCCCTCGCTCTTAGCTGGAATAAATTCATAGGTACGATTCCTATCTCAATCTTCAATATATCCACTTTGACAATCCTTTATGTGTCCTCAAACCAATTAAAGGGGGGCTTACCTAGTTACTTAGGCTTCACTCTTCCAAATCTCGAGGAAATCTATTTGGATCACAACCACCTCACTGGACCCATTCCTAAGTCAATATCCAATGCCTCTAACCTCGGTGAATTCGTAATCAAGTCGAACAACTTTACTGGGAAAGTTCCTTCTTTCTCAAAGATGAGAGGACTCAGTCGGTTTATTATTAGCCATAACGGCTTAGGAAGTGGGCAATCTGCAGATTTGGACTTCCTCTGCTCCTTAACCAATTCCACAAACTTGAATATATTGGGTGTAGAGAGCAATGCTTTTCGAGGACCAATCCCCGACTGTATCGGTAACCTCCCTATCACCCTTTCGCAGTTCGGGTTAAGTTACAATCGCATTTCTGGAACCTTACCTTCTCGAATCGGAAATCTCATCAATTTGGAAGTTCTGGTACTGGTGGACAATAACATCTCGGGAAACATTCCTTCCGAGATTGGAAATATGAACAAACTAAAGGTTTTGAGTCTCGGCCAAAATAAATTCTCGGGGCAGATACCAGAATCTATTGGGAATTTAAGAATGTTAACCCAATTGACCTTGTATATCAATAATCTTCGAGGCTCAATACCATCGTCTCTAGGAAATTGCCAGAATCTACTTCTCTTGGACCTTTCGACCAACAATCTCAGCGGTAGCATACCCCCAGAAATTATGGGCCTCTCATCTTTGTCGATTTATCTGGACTTGTCTCGAAATAGTCTCACCGGCTCCCTTCCAGGAGAAGTTGGAAACTTGAAAAATCTCGGTGTACTAAGTACTGACGGAAATAGATTATCACAACAAATTCCAAGTAGTATCGGCGATTGTATAAGCATGGAAAGCCTATATGTGCAGAATAATTTCTTTGAAGGGCCCCTACCATCGACTCTGAGTTCAATGAGAGGCCTTCAGGTTTTGAATGTTTCCAACAACCGATTATCAGGTCAAATACCGGAATTTTTAGGGTCGCTGAATCTGACAAATTTGAGCCTTTCTTACAACAATTTTGAGGGTGCTTTACCAACGAGAGGAATTTTCAAAAGTGCCATTTCAACTTCAGTTATTGGAAACAAGAAGCTTTGCGGGGGTCTGCCAGATTTTCAACTACCGAAATGCGATTACAAGGAGTCAAAACTGAAGAGAATAAGCGAAAGTGCAAAAATTCTGATATCCACAGTCTCTGCTGTTGTAGGAGTAGCCTGCATATTCTCTTTGCTATACTTCTTTCGGTATAGACGCAATAAGAAAGCATCAGCTTCGAGCTCTTCTGAAGATGGGCTTTTGCATGTTTCTTATCACAGTCTACTGAAAGCGACGGGTGGATTCTCCTCCACCAATCTGCTCGGTGTGGGCAGTTTTGGGTCCGTGTACAAAGGGATTCTTGATCAGACTCAGTCGATCGTGGCCGTCAAGATTCTCAACCTTACATGTCAAGAAGCTTCCAAGAGCTTCATGGCCGAGTGCAGGGCCTTGAGAAATATCCGACACCGTAATCTCGTAAAGGTACTCACGGCATGTTCTGGATTTGATTTTCATGGAAATGATTTCAAGGCACTGGTCTATGAATTCATGTCGAATGGGAGCTTGGATGAATGGTTGCACCCAACAACACCGCAATATATAGCGAGAAGCAAGTTGAGTCTACTTGAGAGAGTGAATATTGGCATTGATGTTGCTTGTGCATTAGATTATCTCCATCATCATTGTGAAACGCCTATAATTCATTGTGATCTAAAGCCTAGCAATGTCCTTCTTGATGATGAAATGACCGGACATATAGGTGATTTCGGGCTTGCCAGGTTCCTTCCAGAAGTAACGCATAACAATTTAGCCGATCCATTGAGCTCTGTCGGGGTAAAAGGATCTTGTGGCTACATAGCTCCAGGTAATGATGCAACAGTTAGGTCTTTCGGTTTATTTGCTTATATCGAACACGTAATTTGAAGACCGATCCTTGGAAAAAGGCATAAACATGAAACATGACCAAGACTATATTTTAATCTCAATTATTGACTATGCATCACTACACTCTATTGACTATTGTAGAGTACGGCTTCGGAAGTGCGGTATCCATGGAAGGAGATGTGTACAGCTTCGGAGTCCTCATTTTGGAGATGTTCACAGGCAAGAGGCCAACCGATGACATGTTTGAAAATGGGCTAAACCTTCATTGCTTCGTGACAGCAGCTTTGGCAGACCGAGTGGAAAAGGTAACCGATCCTGTTTTGCTTCAAGATTTTGAGGAGTCGAAGAAGAGACAAACAGTCGCTCCGGAGGACAAGAACAAAAGCTGGTGTTGTATTCATGAATGTTTGGTTTCGATCTTTGAAATAGGAGTCGCTTGCTCTTCTGAGTCTCCCGGGGAACGAACGGACATCGGTGATGCATTGACTAATCTCCAAAAAATCAAGAAGAAACTTCTTGAGTGCATTGTCATTGCCTAGTTCATGTAAAATCCGAACTTCATATGGAGTCATGTGGTCTTCATGATCATTACTTTGTCTGGAAGTGGATATGGAATTTTGCCATGCAAAGACAATTTGAATCTGGCAATAGCAAAACCACAAGTAACGGAGACTAGTTACTTAGCAATCTAAGGAAGATCTATGAAAAATAAATGTACTTTGTTTTGCTTTAGCTTCTAATATAAGTACCTCCAGACATCTAGTAACATGGACGTTTGTCTTGCTCTCTTGCAAACTTGACCGGTTTGTTTTGGATTTTAAAACCAAAAAAAAAATTACTAAATGACTTTCCTCTAAAAGTTATATAATGGTTAAATTTATAAAAGCTTATGACAAGGAATATGTGATTACATATATCAATATTTGTTCATCTTATATCTATAGATAAAGCCGGACCTTAGAGAATATGCACTTTTGTGATCGCCACATGGCAAACTTGGCCTATTTGTTTTGCATAATCATGCCACATGGCCCACATTCGTTCAATTAGAATTAGTTTTGTAATTTGTCATCCTCAAGCGTCTATTTTTTATTATATTTAAATTTAAACTTTAGAATGGATAGAAAGCAAATATATTATTCTTAAGTGGATTCGTCCAATAAAAGAAATAATATAAAATCTTGAATTACATTTCAATTATCCTTTTCAAATATTTATCTTCTTTCGACTTATTTCATTGATTTTATATTTGAAAAAAAGAAGAAAATAAAGATAAAATGTTTTCAAATGTAAAATTAGTCCTTTTAATCTGAAAATAATTCAAAAAGAGAATAATATCGTCTTAAACTAACAACACTCATAATTTGAAGTATAGTTCTTGTTAACTACGTGAATAAAAGCATCAATTGAAATAATGTGAATGATATATTACTTTATTACTTGAATATATTTTACTTAATATTCACTAAATTGGGCATTACATTCAATTGATAAAAAATGAAAATCATTTGAATTACTTTGCATTTAATATTATTACTTCTTTTAGAATGCGCTTATTTTAAATTTCGCTTACTTTAAATATAGCGTATATCATCTGAAGCAAATTTGTTTAGTACTAAATGAAAATGACAAATGAAAATATTCTTTACCAAAATCCACTTAATTTGACAAGGAGGTCAATTACATCTTTCCATGTGAAATTTGAAAAAGATTGGATATCCCTTTTTAATTCCAAATTACGTATGGAAATCTTAAACATGTTAATTCAAGTACGAGGATTAGAGGTGATCAGTTCCAGGGTCAGTTCCCACCCTTGAACCTAGCATCGGACCGGTTAGGGTCGGTTCCCAATTTATGGATCCGAGAATCGCCCCTCCTGATTCCAAGGTCAGTCCCGAAACTGGTGATTTCTTCTTCTTCTTTTTTGCTTCTTCTATTCCTTACAAGTGGAAGTTTCCCAACATTAGAAGAAAAAAATAATTTACAAATTAGAGTTTGCTTCAAAATAAAAAAATAAAGAAATATTGGCCAGACCGGTTATTCCCGATTCCAAATTTTTTGAACCGAGACCCACCAAGAACCGGATCGGGACCAATGCATAACCCTAACGAGGATAAAGACTCCTTTCCTCTTTATGAATGGGGGCTCTCCATTTATGTCAATACCTAATAGATGAAGACATACGGAAAATTTACAGAATTATCCTTTCTTGAATATGGAATATTTTTCACCAACGCAAAGCTCATTCAAGGTCATCATGACCCTGAGGATTTGAAATTTTTTATGATTAAGTTGAGATAAATGCCATTAATGCCCTCAATTTTTCAGCACTTAATTTTCAATTTTATCAATGTTGAAAATGAAATAAGATATGTTTAATAATAAGTGAACATTGAATGCCAAATAATAATAGTTTGAACTAATCAGGAGTACTATTACTAAGTTTTTGCAAAATATTTAACAAGACTTTGAGTACCAATAGATATCTTTTTTCTATCCAATGAATTAAGTGGCCTTTGTTACCTAGCAAATTAGTGATTTTCTAACTTAATTAAACCTTTTAAGCTTAACCTAGTATTGATTATCAATAGTGTTTAATTTTATTGAGTGCTAAATATTTTAGTTTTCGCGACTTAATCGAGTTATCAAACAAGCTGTAAATTTGGAAACTACTCTCTTCGGATTTACTTTCAATAAACACCGTTTACTATATTATAGCATAGGTGAAGATTTTGGTAACTATACATAAAATTCAAATTAGTGATCACCATGACATTGAAATTCAAATATTAGATAATTTATGCAGACTTCAGGAAACTTAAATGTGCAATAATAAATTCTTTTATCATTAAAAAGGTGGAAATAGGCAGCCAGTAGATGTCAAATCTCACAGCCATTACGAAATATTGAGTTTGACCCATGACTTTTCAATCCACCCGTATCAATATGAGCATGTCGAGCTAGAGATTCTTCCACAACATGACTTGATGGTGATCGCAGTGTGACTCTTTTATACCGGGCATCACGTTCAATGGTAGGTGAGAAAGTGTCTTGTTAACGTGAAGAATCAACTTATTGAATATTTTCTCACATATTCCATTAATAAATACCACATATATTGGACATTGCCAATACCAGATAATCATGTATGGAAATTATGCTTGTGTTGACACCCAAAATTACCCATGGTGGGAGTGGGCCGGTTGCAAGTCACAAAGGACATAAAACACGACCCACATAGCATAAATCCGGAGAAAAGCCGTGAGTCAGGCCTAGAGGCATTGGAAAGATTTGAAACAATTATCGACAGGACACGTCATATAAGTGTCGACAAGTCCAAGATCATGAGCCTTGCACGTGAAGTCGACAAATCCAAGATCACGATCCTTGCATGTGACGTCGACAAGATCACGAGCCTTGCACGTGACGTTGACAAGTCCAAGATCACGAGCCTTGCACGTGACGTCGACAAGTCCAAGACCACGAGCCTTGCACGTGAAGTCAACAAGTCCAAGATCACGATCCTTGCACGTGACGTCGACAAGATCACGAGCCTTGCACGTGACGTCGACAAGTCCAAGATCACGAGCCTTGCACGTGACGTCGACAAGTCCAAGAACACGAGCTTTGCACGTGATGTCAATGAGTCTGAGATCATGAATTAAATACACGGTTTCACATAGTAAAGAAATTCATTTCCACGTGTCAAAAAGTGAAACGTGGGAAACAGCAGGGAATAAAGAGATACGTGGAAGAAAATCAGCCATTACGTGATGCCCAAGGAGCGTAAGCAACATCAATAAGTCAGGAAACGGTTAAAGCGCGAAACGTAACGAAGTGGAAAACAACTTTTAAGGAGAAGTAGCCGGTCAACAGTTATCAGGTCGCTCTATAAATACTCAAGGATTTCCGATGTAGAAGCCCCCCCCCCAGAAGAACACAACAAATCTCTTATTTGTCTTTATTTTCAGCATATTAGGAATAGTTGTAGCTCCCAGATTCCAAGTCGTAGATTCAATTCCGGCGGGAGTCTTTATCCGGTCCAGCATTGTTGATTAAATTCCAGTATTGTGCCACCAGTTCAGCGTCGTCGATTTAATTCCAGCATTTTGCTTGAAATATAGTTGTTGATTGGATTCCGGTCATATTCTCTCAAGTCACGTCATTGATTAGATTCCGGCATAGCTGGGTCTCGGTATTTGCAAGTTATCATCCCATTGTTAGTATTGCCAAGTTAGGTGTATTATCGAGTTGGGTTGTAAGACACAAGTTGAGCTTAATAAATGCATTTGACATTCTCTGTCCGAGCTTGATTCAAGACCCTAGTCCCCTCTAATAAAATCTGAAACGCAGCGTTCGGTGAAAGATTTTCGACGGGATAAAACCGGCGAAACATCTTTTTGGCAAACCTGATGGGACCCTTATTGAGTTAAGTAGAGAGAGTGCTATGCCACGCACTCGAAGTCGGACCAACTCGGATAATACTACTGACGAGCAAGCTGCATCGATGTCAGAAGATAATACCCGCACTGAGACATCATCTGCTCAACTTCTTCATACCGAGGCTCCTAACCAATCTCGAGAGGAGGCCACAGATATGTCGAGACAGCGCGTTGAAGATAGAAGGCAAACTGAGCTCACACCAGTTGCACTTTCTACCATGAGGCGGACTATTGAGGAAACTCAGAATGAGTTCGCTGATTATGTGGTAAGGCGTATGACTGAGGTGGTTAGGCCTTTGATCATCAACACTTATCATGAATGCACTCAAGGTCAACATGGAAGGTCCATCGCACCGACCCAACTGAAAACAGAATCTCCGTCAGCATTAGGAGGTCCTACAATACAATTTGGGACAATGATGCAAGGCACGTCGACAATCCCGCCCATTCGAATATTACTGAGGGGAGAAACCCTGCTAGTAGCACCCAGTGAGGGATTTCCTCAGGCTAACGTGGACCCAAATGGAGGAGTTGCTCAACAGACGGTGATCGATGAAAACCTCCAAGGAGGACATCAAGTTACTCAGGTGCAAGGTCCTCCTGTGATCCAGGTAAATCCTCCACCTATAGTCCTAGATGTTCAGAATCCTGCAGCACCTTTGCCTAGGGCACAAGAGCAGCTCCAACAGATAAACATGCAACCACAACGTCAGGCACCCCAGCCTGCAGTGCATAACGTAAATCAGCATTTTCCACCCCATATGGGTCCAAATGTTCAAGTCCAGCTACCATTGCCAGCACAGTTAAACCCATCAGTCAATCCACCTATGATTGCTCACAACGTACCACAGATTATGCAGCCACAACCTCAACAACAGCCACAGTTACCACAGCAGCCATTCTACCAATTACTTCACCAAAATCTGAACCAGCCATTGCCACCTAATTATGTTGTAGCTCCTGCGCCCGTCGTGGGTCAAGTACGAAATTAGTTGGTAATGGACCCTGTGATAAGGGGATATGGTCATGATATGGGATACTTCCCAAACGTTTATAGAAAATCATATCCTGATTGGATGGATACCATACCATATCCA